AACCCTCAAACCAAACACGCATTTGTGAACAGGTTTTACATATTTTTAGGACCATTTCTTTATAACAAGCTCAACAAGTCACTAAAGATATATAGTGTAAGTTATAAGAAATATAGGGGAATTTCTGAATAAATTAAATTACGAAAACAGAGAAGTTGATGGAAATTATAAATTAGTTTTGTATTAATTCTAGGTTACAAATAATTGTTATTTAGGTATTTTATTTATTATATAATATAGTTCAATTATTTAAATTATCTTCTGTCCTAATTTATTAAACCCATAGTGTAAGTGATGGTCTGAAACAAGTACTCAACCTAGTTCAGGCAGGTAGCTTATATTTATAAACTTGAGTTTTGAATTTTTCTTTTGTAAGTAGATTCTACATTATTAAGCTACACATAGTTTTTATTTTTATTATTGCATGTTATTTTTATTATGCTTATTGTTACTTTCCATAATTGTAATCATATTTGCTCCTGTATATAAACATGTATAATTGAAAATGAAATACAAATTATTATTATTAACAAAAATTCGTTTTACGTGGTAGAGCCACGCTGCAGCTATATTATGGTTGTAGCACGAATGGATCGGTTCGACCGGGGTAGGACCACGCTCTCACAGATTACGAACATAAAATAGCAGCTTAATACTGCTGTGTTTCGTTTGATGACTGTAGAGAACCGGGGACGCCTTTTATTGGAAACGAGACATTTCATCTCAGTCCTCAGGAGTTTCAGCGCATCTGCGTTTTGATTCTTAATCTAGGATAAATCTAGATGTTTCTGGGCCACAGCATCCACTTGCCATCAGGTGTGTACCATGAGCTGTGTGCTCAATTGTCAACCTTATTTTATAAAAAGTTAAAAAATAATTAAAAACTGCGGTTGGCAACCTGCTCGCCTAGCATGTCAACTATGGTAAATCCCCGCTATGAGGCAATCTGTGGAGACCCGTAGGTATACTGAACATATTCAGTAGACTTATCTTTTATGGGCTGTGATGGATCCTATCAAAGTCCACTGCTAAACACAGGTCCATAGAATATTGCCCCATCGGGGGGATATTTGTCATAGTTAGTACTCTTGGCAAGCGCAATTTTTTAATTATTTTGATTTGTTTCAGTTTCCCTCTTTCACCTTTTATGACACTCATGGTACCTGTGTTTTACTTTCTTTTTATATCATATATACAGCTGTCTATAGGAGGCCACACTATAGCTTTTCTTTATGAGCCACCACCGCTGATAAAATATATGTACGACGCAATATACTAACTACAGTGACTTTATATATACTATCATTTTGATGTCAAGGTCTCCGATCCTCTACACTTGCCATACGAAACACGGAAGCATTAAGCTGCTATTTCAGGCTAAGTAGTATTTTGTAACAGCGTGGTTCCTCCCCGGTCGAACCCACCCATTCGTGTCCATAATACAGTTGCAGCGTATAGTATCATCATTGTTATAATATTTATATGTTATAGCTATATTTAGACACAAGTTTGCGCGTTAACCGCTAAAAAGAACCCCTTTGTCGTATCCCCTCAGTTTCAAGGCACTCCCCTTGTTGCCTCAGCCAGTATCGGAATCCTCGGCGTCGACATATCGAGTGACGTGCAGTTTCGTGGTCACTTGGAAGGGAAGGCCAAATTGGCCTCTAAAAAGCTTGGCGTGCTCAGCAGAGCGGGACAGTATTTCATACCGGCACACCGCCTGCAACTTTACAAGGCGCAGGTTCGGCCGCTCATGGAATACTGTTCCCATCTCTGGGCTGGGGCTCCCCCAGTACCAGCTCCTTCCACTTGACCGCATCCAGCGCAGAGCGGCTCGAATCGTTGACGACCGAGTGCTTTCCGATCGGCTCGATTCACTGGCGCTGCGAAGAGATGTTGCATCTCTTTGCGTATTTTATCGCATCTATCACGGGGAGTGCTCTGAGGAATTGTTCGGATTAATCCCAGCCGCCAAATTTCGTGAACGCACTACACGGCAAACGTCCCGATACCATCCACACCATCTGGATGCTTGGCGGTCCACCACTGTACGTTTCAAAAGGAGTTTTCTTCCGCGTACAACCTCTCTGTGGAATAATTTACCACCGGTGATTTTTCCGGACCGATACGACCTGGGGACCTTCAAGAAAAGAGCTTACTCCTTTCTAAAGGGCCGGCAACGCACCTGCAATTCCCCTGGTGTTGCGGTTGATCACGGGCGGCGGTAGTCACTTAACATCAGGTGAGCCACATGCTCGTTTGCCCCCTCTTCTATAAAAAAAAAGCTAAGAGTAGCGACGTAGAGTTAGGGAATCTAAATAAGTGAAAATACAAGGTATAGTCATCCAGCAATGGACTAAAAGACTAATGGAGAAGGGAACATACTGGGTTGATCAATAAGTTTTTGGAAACGCAATGAAACTGGGATAAGTATATATGTAAATTGTATTTATTTTCCAATGCCTTTTAAGCTAATACACCTTGAATAACGTTTTCTACAGCAAATATCACCTCATAGTCGCCGCCGAATGTTATACCAAGCAACTTGCTTTTTCAGGTGAATAAAAAGGTGAAAATCACTTGGAGCTAGATCCAGAGAATATAGTGTGTGCTGCAGCAGCTGAAACCCAGCAGTTCGGATGACCGTGCGTGCAACATCAGACTGATGGCCTGGAACATTATCATGATGAAAAAGCGTTCCAACACGAAATTTTTCTCGACGTTTATTTTTTTAGTTTTTCACGTAGTTTTTCGGTTAAAGATGTGTAATAATCTCCGTTATTGTCTCTCCTTTACTTAAACAGTTGATCGTTATAATACCTTCCGCATCCCAGAAAACACACATAATACTTTTCCAACGGATGCAGACACCTTGAATCCATTGGCTGGTGGGGCGGACGTTTTTTTCCACACCTTGTTTTGATTTTTCGTTTCCTTCTGTACTTCATCTACTGTTACGAAAGGAGCGCAAAAATAATCTGGATCTTCTTAAATTTTTTGCTAAATTTAGCTTTGAAATGTCAACTCTTGCTTTCTTTTGGGCATCTTTTGACATTCGAGGATCCCACCTTTTTTATTTTAAGGTATGTGTTCAAATAAACTGAATTGTCCCAAACGAATGCTTTAGAATCTAAGCTAAATAATGTATGGTCACACGTCGATCTACCTTAACAATCCCTTCGATTTTTTTAACGTTTTCTTGCGTAGCGGTGAGTGTCGTCACTATGGGAATAGCGGTGAGTGTCGTCACTACGGGAATAGCGGTGATTGTCGTCACTACGGGAATAGCGGTGAGTGTCGTCACTACGGGAATAGCGGTGAGTCTAGTCACTATGGGAATAGCGGTGAGTGTCGTCACTACGGGAATTCCGCTTTTTCAGCGCACCAACATGCCATTGTAAAATAAGACGGAGCATTGTCTGCCAAAGTAGACTACAGTTCTTCAAAAACAATGTTTCAGGCAGAAACATTAAACAACCCCACGAAATTCAAGTTTTCCATCTTTCATTCATCAGTCCATTTTGCATGCGAATCAAATTCCCGCCAAACGTGAAATTGGAAAAAACGGTATAGTTTTTAATTTAATTTTTTTCTGGCCTTGACTATGAAAAAATAGAACTCATTTCTATAATTCACTGAAAACTTTCCTATTCCAAAACTTATTGAACAACCTAATACTTATGACATTATTAATACAATTTTTCCCCATTCATCATCATTACAGTCTATCAAAGTCAACACTTAAGAAGCCATTATACCATGCTTGGCAGTCGCAATTTTTTTTTTATATTTTGAGTTGTTATCAGGAAGATGCTGTTTCAGTTTATCTCTTTCGCCTCTTACGATACCTACGGAATATTGTGGGGTAGCGGAATTTCTTACGCCGCCACAGCACGGCCTAGCTTTACTCCATTTATTTATTAGTTATAATTTTTAAATCTATATAGGTTAGTACTATATACAAATAAATGTATAGTTGTTATTCCCGTATGCTTTCCCATGTCGTTCAACCGATTACGATGAACTTTGGTGGGGTTGTAGAGTGTGTTCGTCCGCGAAGGTTTCTGATAAAAAAATGAATATTAATTGTTTGTTTGTTCGTTTACTATGCGTAAACCATTCATCCAATCACGATGTAATATAATTACGATAGTTTTCGGTTGAAAGTCTGGTGAGGTGGTGAGTTGCTAATTAATAGAAAACTACGTTTTATTAGCGAGCACGATCTTAAATTCTTTGAACACAATTGTTTTTTTTTATAGAATAAGGTGACAAACGAGCACGCAGTCCACCTGATGGTAAGTGGTTGCTGTGGCCCATAGACATCTACATGTATCTTCGATTACGAATCAAAATGCAGATGCGATGTCACGCGTGAGGACTAAGATGGAATGCCTCGTTTCCAGTAAAAAGGGTCTCCGGTTCTCTACACTCACCATATGAAACACAGCAGCATTAAGCTACTATTTTATTCTGTGAGAGCGTGGTCCTTCCCCGATCGAGCCGAACCATTCGTGCTGCATCTATACTACTAATATAACTGCAACGTGGCTTTACCACGTATATAAAAACATAAAAAGGACAATACAGATTAAGTCGGGCACTCATCGGGATTTTGTATTTATTAATTATAATCAAGAACCAGTCCAGTGGTTAAAACAGTATTTGAAAACCCGAATGTGAAAAAAGGTAATTGACAAGAGAAAAAACGCAGTTAAAAAGAATCTATTGACACACCATTTGTAAAATCCATAAAACCGTAATCTATCAGGTTACAGAGCGTGCCAAAGAAAGACATAACCTTCTTTTTTTTAAAGTCGGGTAATAATTAATACATACTTATAGCCAAAGAGTATATAATCACTATTATTATTGTTGTAAACTTTTTTGGCCATGTAGACTGCCATAAAAATTTAGTTTCGATATGTCAGTTTTACTACACTTTTCCTTTCATTATTTTTAGGTCATATTTATTCTGCAAGGATTTATTTACGTACGAAATGTGCGATCAAGAATTTAGAACACTTAGAGTAGATCCAAGATATCCGTTTCAAAATCAGACCAGGTAATTTGAAGCTTCGTCTAAACTACAAAACATTTTAATTTTACGGGTCTTTCTGATTGCTAAAATAGTTTTCGCAACAGCTTTTTTTATTATTCGTGCCCCCAGACTTATTATAATACGTCATTTATATCAATATTCGTGCCATTGTGTAACAAATAAAACAAAGACGATAGTGAACTAAGTATATGAATAGATCCGCTACTCGTAAATGTAAAGTTTCCAAAGAACAACAATAAGATTTAACATAAAAGATTAACTTCTAAGCTTCAAAGTTCTTGTCCACGTGTAAAATATCCGTTGGGTTTCTTGCTGGTTTTCCAAGGACAGAGGTATCCTCCGAATCAGTGATAATTGAAAAAAAATGACTTTCAAGAAGTACTTAATATGTAATAATCATAAAAAATCTTCTATTCTTTGATTAAAAACATAAAACGACGGAGGCTGTGCGTAAAACCGAGTATCTACTCCAGGGTTTATTGTTTTATTCTTTATTGTTTTTCTTTTCAGAGCATGTTATGACAACTACTGTGATTTTTATAAATGCACGCGGCTGCTCGGCGAAGTCGACGACTGTAAAATATTCAAACGCTATTTTGAAACAATCTGTCCTAACTTCTGGATTTCACAATGGGATGATCAACGGGAAAGAGGAGTATTTCCAGGACCCATATAATAATGGAACGCATTTTTAAGAAAACGAAAATGTTTTCTAAATAAATCTTTGTTTAATATACTTAATTTAACTCATACTTTCTATTTCGTGTTGTATAATTTTCCCTTTATAACGTAAATATACTTTATTTATTTTGACTTTAAATAAAATTCCCCTTTAGGTTGTGGTTTTTTATTGTAGTCATTAGAATTATTTTCTTAGTTCCAACAAATAATTTTTTAAGAAAGACTATAAAAGTTTTGATTTCATCATTCTTCTTCAACAACCTTTTAAATCCACTGAACTTAAAATGGACTGTTTGTAAGAAAAGAATGTATCCAACAATAAGTTTCGTGAAAGATTTTCTCATGCTCTCCGTGCTATAAAGGCGGATTGGATAGAACAGACCCGATATCCTCGCACTTGCATTGCTAATGTAGCTTCACGTGACCCGTCTCCTAGTTTTGAAAAGTCACTCTCTATAATATAACTATATGCTTTAATTCTTTCCTCCGCTTCAAACTATCGGAAAACCGGACGGTCGGCGGGTCTGCATTCTGCAATTTGTTGTCGATATTCCAAAAAATCCACAAGTGATTAGGTTTTTGTTTCGCTAAGACAGTGCGATAGGGATTCACACCACTTCCCATCACGTGGGACTGTGGTCTAGTACTGGCTTATAATATAATAAAATTAAAACGTCGTCACATTTACCAGAACCTCGTTCGTTAGGATGTACCTAAGGAAAAGATGGTGTATTATGTATATGTATTTTGTATTATATACAATAATTACCCGAAAAATTTTCGTGGCAGAGACACGCTTGCAGCTATATTGTGTCTGTAGCATGAACGGGTTGGCTCGACCGGGGAAAGACCACGCTCTCACAGAATACTAGCGTAAAATAGCAGCTTAATGCATATATTTCTCCTCTTCTATATATTTTTTATGGTGAGTGTAGAGAACTAGAGACCCTTTTTAGTGGAAACTAGGCATTCCATCTTAGTTTTCAGTGCTGACAACGCATCTGCTTTTAGATTCTTAATCTAGGATAAACGTAGATGTCTATGGGCCACAGCGTCCACTTATGATCAGGTGGACTCATAGATAAATAGATATGTAGCAAGCTAGGTGGACAGTGTGCTCGTTTGTCACCCCTATTCTATAAAAATAAAAAATTATCGCGACTAAATTTTTGCTACACAATAATCTTCTGGCAACTATTGCTCTTAGGTCGCTGCAGGGGTCGAAACAAAGACTAAAAATTAATATATTATTATGTATAGAGTGCTAACTCATTTTAAGTAAAAACGCATAGAATAATTTAAAAAAATATCTGTAAACAATTTTTGTGACTAATGACCACCCTCCAGGTTTGAGATTACTGATTGCAAACTACATTTGCCGAGAGCAGTAACCTAGTCATCACCATTATTAAAGCCCTTCACATATGCACTGCTAAACATAGGCCTTCCCTAAAGATTGCCAAAAAACACGGTTATAAGGTGATGACTGCCTGAGGCGTACCTTATAATTTTTTTTCGGCTGGATAGTCATACAATTTCATAGTTTTGACGTCTGAGCCAAAGCAATGAGGAAAGAAGTCAGAAAGATTTTATACATACGACATATGGCGCTATAACGGCCTAATCGTTGTGGGTAAGTATTCTCCTCTGGTGTTCCTCAAGGGTCTTTACTCGGTCCTCTTTTGTTTTTAATTTTTATAAATGATATTGGTACTTGTTTTTCTTACCCTAAAAATGTCTCGGATACATATCTTTTACAGGATGACTTAGATTAGCTATTTATTTTAGTGTTAACAACTTATTATAAATTATTTCGAAGCTCTCTTCCTATGGGCTTCCCGAGAAATGGGATTCGATCACTAGTTTTCTTGTTAATCGAAGCATCAAGGTCGTAATAGACAGTGCATGCTCTGATTACAAGCTTATTAACGCTGGTGTTCCACAAGGCTACGTGCTATCACGTAAGCTGTTTCTTCTGCATATCGATTATATGTTGCAAAGTGATAACATTCATTGCTATGCTGATGACAGCACTAGCGATGCCTTATACAGCGGCCGTTCCAATATTACTCGGGAAATCATCGCAGACTACCGGGACAAACTTGTGTCTGAAGTCGAGTCTTCGACTCAACAAAGTCTCGTATTGGGGGCGACTAAGTCTAGTCCAATTCAATATCCAGAAGACAGAAGTTTGCGCTTTAACCGCTAAAAAGAACCTCTTTGTCGTATCTCCTCAGTTTGAAGGCACTCCCCTTGCTGCCTCAGCTAGCTTCAGAACCCTCGGTGTCGACATATAGAATAGTGTGCAGTTTCGTAGTCACTTGGAGGGGAAGGCCAAATTGGCCTCTAAAAAACTTGGCGTGCTCGGCAGAGCGAGACAGTATTTCATGCCAGCACATCACTTGCAACTTTACAAAGCGCAAGTTCGGCCTCACATCGAATACTGCTCTCATCTCTGGGCCGGAGCAACCCAGTGCCAGCTCCTTCCACTTGCCCGCATCCAGCACAGAGCGATTCGAATCGTCAACTACCGAGTTCTTTCTGATCGGCTCGATTCACTGGCGCTGCGTAGAGATGTTGCATCCCTTTGCGTTTTCGTCGTATCTACCATGGGGAGTGTTCTGAGGAATTGTTCGGATTAGTTCCAGCCGCCAAATTTCACAAACGCACATCGCATCAAAATTCCCGATACCATCCTCGCCATTGGATTCTTGACCGTCCACTACTGTACGTTTTACTAGGAGTTTTCTTCCTCGTACAACTTCTCTGTGGAATTGTTTACCAACGGCAACTTTTACGGACCGATACGACTTAGGGACCTTCAAGAAACGCACCTGCAATTCCCCTGGTGTTGCGGTTGTTCATGAGCGGCATTAGTCACTTAACATCAGGTGAGCCGCATGCTCATTTGCCTTCTATATAAAAAGAAGCGAAATAATGTTTATTGTAATATAAACTTAAAAATCAAATTCTGATGAATGAATACAAAATAAATCGTCATGCCAAACAATTTAGAACAATGAAAACTTTAAAAATATTGTATTGTGCTTACGTCCGTAGTCATCTAGAATACGCTTCGCAAGTTTGGAGTCCGTGTTATGCATCTCATATAAACATTATATATATATATATATATATATATATATATATATATATATATATATATAAACACTCACGCATCACCCAGAGGGGACACCTACATGCTCGTCGGTTAAGGGTACTCCTAATTTGGCCCGTTTTTAATAAATCACTAATTTGGTCGATACATTTTTGCCTCGGGCGTCCCTTTCCGACTCTGCCATTCACTTCTGCAACATAAATTTTCTTTGTCACTCTTTCCTTATTCATTCTTTCCACATGACCAAACCACCGAAGCATTCCTTTCTTAATCCTGGTCACATCATCTTGCAAACCACACTTTTCTCTTATCACACAATTTTTCACCCTGTCATTCAGATTCAGCCCTAACATACTCCTTAACGACCGCATTTCTACTGCATTTATTCTACTCTCGTGCTTCTTCTGCCACACCCAACTTTCACTACCATACGTTAAAGTAGGGTATCATATAAACAATATCGATAAAATTCGAAAGAAGTTCACTCAAAATAAACTTACCTTTTGCTGATTACGAGGATCGCAGCATTCGACTTCACCTACTTTACGCCTTTAAACATACGCACAGACATACATAGCTGACGTGTTTTCTAACAAAAATAGCCCAAAGTAAAATGGATTGTCCGTAGCTTCTCAGTAAAATCTTACTAAGAGCCCCTGTTAAAAAACTACGCAAAAATGTATCATAGTTAATATAGAAGTAATAGTTTTATAAAAGCTTTAAGGTTATTTAATTAGTATTCTGAAAACAAAGATTTAGACTTAGTTCTGTGATAATACTACGAAAATTAAAACTACTCTTACAATAGATTTCGTAGTGTCTGGTAGATTTGTTGTAAATGTATTATTTATATCACAGAAATCTAAATAATAAGGCAATATTTTTAGATTTCTGTGATTTATATTATGCCTATCTATAACTTTTTATTGGCATATAAGTTTTAATATAGTGATCTAGGTTGTAAATTTAGCGGTAATTTCCCCAAATGAAATAAAATATATATACCGGATATGAAATATCTAGACCGATGACGAGGAACAGTATCGAAAGTGCGACACGTCCGGTACTGCGATCATCAATTCACATGTAAAGCGTAGCAATTGTTGGACACATACAAATACTCGCTGCGAGAGAACTGGAGAACTCGCTGTGTGACAGGATGCTCGCTGCAAGTAGCCATTCCGCTCAGCGAGTCGCTCCAGACTACAGGTCGTTTCGTCGCTGTATAACTATATGTGTGTGGGTATATACGATGAGTCAACTAAAAATGATTCTCTGAAGTTGGAAAATTACTATAAATTAGTTTGTTGGGTGTGTGTAAAAATATGAGGAACTGTGGGATACATATAACAGTAATTGTTTTTCATTTTTTTAAGGAATTATATAGGATTTTCTCCTGTATCGTGGAGGCAGTTTATATACTTACATAAATTGCCCAAGGGCAAACATCCAGACCGGTACCATTACTTGTAGGCCATACAAATACTGGCTCCGTAAGGGATTCGAACCCGCTGCCCTCAGCGCTATAACTCATGCTAAGCTACTTTGTCACGGCGCTGTCTTTTACGGCCTGACCACGGGGAACGGCGGCACGAACGGCGAAGCGACAGGCGGGGCGTCAATTCGCGCGGCACGATTTGAGGGCCACGGGAAGTCACGTTTGCCGCCGCGACCAGATAGGCCGAGAGTGATTTGATTTGAATAGGAATCGGGTTATAAATGGAAAATTCCACAACAAATAGAATGCATCTAGAAAAAAAATTCGAGTAAATACCAGTATGAGTGTCGAAACCAGCGATTATATTCTTGTTCATATTCAACCAGAATTGGAGATACAAGGCAATGCGGATAGAATTTTAAGTTGTTTTTGTCGGCCCGGCATTTTTCGCGGCGAAAACAACTAAAATATTTTGTTCCCTATACTATTCGCCGCGTCTGCCGCCCGACTCCGTGGCTTGCACCGTACTGATTCATACATTTGTTTCATTCGCCCGCCGCGCCGCCAGTCGCCCGCGCGATTCGCCCGGTAAATTTCGCCGGTCACGTCGCCACTCGCCGCTACGCGTGGCTTGTTCCATACATTTATATACATTTGTTTTAGTCGCTAGACGCCTCGGCGTTCGCGCCGCGCGAATTTTCGCTACGACGAATGTCCCGTGGCCAGGCTGTTAGACGTGCGAGATGAATAAACGACATATTTGCAATTGAGGCACCAACAGACTATCGAAATTCTCGTGTAGTTGTTCTCGAAGAATGCGAATACTCGCGAATATTCGCTGTGTGTCCGAGTCTCAAGGTCCCAATTCCAGCAGTGGATTGCTAGCGGCCAATAAATAAGTTTACACACCGGTATTCACTAATTTCATTATTGTTTTAAGAGCAGAAACTGAAACGTAGACTCGCGACTGTTTTAAAAATGAAAACTTGTTTAGAATTGATGTGATTTGAAACTTGATGTAACGAAAAAGCAACACTAAAAAGAGACAAACTATGTTTCTAATGTTCATCTACAGTATTTGGTCTGCGAGAGAATGAGATAAAATACAGTATAGTGTTTTCTATTATCACTGTCTTCTCTTTGTGTGGTGCTTTATCTAATATTAATAATTTTTGAACTTGGTAACAATATCGAAATAAATGAACATTACAATTATCCAGATCCTACTCCTGACACTCAGCATTCATCTCATTCTCTGCACTATGAAATGTAGAAATAAGGAGTACCAACTCCCATAGTAGAACAGTTGAAAAAGTGGCCATCTGTAAGCAGTAAATAACAGCTCAAAAACTCTCCACAACAGCGCGGGAGTAGCTACTGGGATGAAATGAACTTAGCAGTTGTCGACGGTTTAAGTGTGGTGCAAAACTGCTCAGTAGCTCTAAAATCTAAAATAATTTTATTTAGTATTTATAATCTCGAAAAAGTCGTCTATCCCACAAATATTTTTCGGTGCGTTCTTTAACCCTTAAATGCATAATGTATCAAAAACGATACGTTGAGATTTTTTTAACTAAAACTTAAAGCCAATTGTTTGTTTTTATTAGGCTGTATGTTACGATGCCCTTAGACTATTTGTCTATCGGAAAAAAAAACAAAGTTTCTCGTATTGGTCCACCATATTTGTTTCGTAGCTGTCAAAAGTATTCTTGTCAGCGAGTGAATGTTTTTGTGAAAAATTCTAACTTTATCCAGACGAATCGGAGTGGATTTGAGACAAATTATATCAAAAAAAAAATATACAATGTCAAGGTAAGTGTTTGTGTTTATAGTAGGTTTATGTATTTTTTACGAAAAATTGATTTCTCTCATAAACAAAAGAGTTTTTAGTTTGTATCGAAAATGAGACACCATGCACTTAGGCATAAAAAATATTTCTATGCATGTTGATGATTTTCGCGTTTTTGTTTTTATTTACGCTTCTTTGAACTTTACAAATTTGTTGCAGAACTACAAGAAAGAAATTGAAAGACGATGATATAGAAAATATGCTAATGCGGTTAGAGGCTGGCGAAATTTCAGAAGACGATGCCGAATCAGATGAGGATGACTTGGATTTCTATCCGTCTCGCAAAGATCTACAAGCCGTACTCGAAGATAAAGAAGTAAGTGATGAAGAGGAAGTGCCTGAAACTGAAGAATGCCCGGATCCTCCCCTGGTTCATGAAGAAATCTATCAACAAGCTTCGACTTCTCGGTCTAATGTATTTCCGCAAATAAATACACGAAATTTGATTTGGAAAAAACGCTCTTTGGAGTATAAAGAGGAATCAATTGCTTTCTTGGGTAGTACAGAATTAGGACCTGAACTAATGAAACTAGAAACCCTACTGCAGTTCTTTTCACAGTACTTTTCAGAAGACTTGTTGAAAAAAATTGTTGAAGAAACCAATAAATATTCGACGCAGACCAATATTGATCGCCCCGTTCAAATAAGCCTTACAGAACTTCGAAAATATTTGGGAATATTGATATTCATGTCTGTCTATCGCTACCCAAGCGTTAGATCGTATTGGAGCAGTAAATTTGGATTTAGACCAATAATAGAAGCAATGCCTGTCAACAAATTTGAAAAAGTAAGAAGCATATTACATTTCAATGATAATAATTTACACAAACCAGTTGGTAGCCCCGACCATGATAAACTTCACAAACTAAGACCCATTATAGATCATCTGACAATGAAATTTTCTAGTGTTCCAATGGAACAACGCCTTTCAGTTGACGAACAAATGTGCGCAACAAAAATCAGCCATTTCTTGAAACAATATTTACCCAATAAACCCCACAAGTGGGGGTTCAAGCTTTTTGCGTTGTGTTCCTTGGCAGGATATTGCTATGATTTCATAATATATAGTGGAACAGACAAAGAACCAATGCGTAGTAATGAACCTGATATTGGAGTGACCGGTAATACAGTAATAAAGTTAACTAGAAGAGTCCCAAGAATGATGAACCATGTAATATACTTCGATAACTATTACACTTCATTACCACTAATGTATTACATGGCGAAGGAAGGCATATGGTGCTTAGGTACGGTGCAGCTAAACCGTCTAGGAAAGTCTTGTAAGTTGCCTAAAAAGAAAGAAGTAATGAACAGTAATGTACCCCGAGGATCCTACGTTGAAAACACGACAAGTCTCGATGGTGTGGATTTTTCTGCGATCAGTTGGAAAGATAACAAGCAGGTGACCTTACTTTCCACTTATATTGGCGCTGAACCTGTAGAAACGATTGAAAGATATGACAAAAACCAAAAAGAAAAAGGTGCCCATACCATGTCCAAAAATAATAAAGGAATACAACGCACACATGGGTGGAGTAGACCTCATGGACTCTTTCCTAGGCAGGTATCACATAAAAGTAAAGTCTCGGAAATGGTACATGCGAATTTTTTACCACTTACTCGACCTATCAGTAATTAACTCCTGGATATTATATAAGAAAGTCTCTGCTAAAAAGAATTTGAACCCTAAGCAGGTTTTGAATCTGGCAGAGTTTAGAGCTGAATTGGCGGATGCTCTCTGCAAATATGGCGAACATGTTGTACCTTCACGAGGTCGACCAAGCCGAAACTTTTCGGAGGAGCCAGCACCTAAAAGGAAAAACATCCAGCAGGTAATGCCCTCGAGAGATGTTCGGTACGATGGAGTGGATCATATTCAATCGAGGCAACAAAATCGTATGAGGTGCATGAACCCAGGCTGCAAACTGCTGAGTAGTATTATGTGTCTAAAATGTAAGGTGTATTTGTGTTCTAACAAAAAAACAACTGACTGTTTTAATGATTTTCATCTATAGGACATATTTTTGTGATCATTTGGTTGCACATTAGTGCTTTGCAATAATTAACAATAAGTCAATTAACGGAAGTAGTACACAATAGAACTGAGAATAAAATTGTAGTTTTTTGCATGTTGTATCAAAAATGATACCAGAATATTTTTCAAAATAAAACTAATTATATTGAATAATGATTTTTTATTTTATTTTTTCCAGCATCTATAAACCATTTTACACAACATATATTTTTTCCAATGATATTGGGTATGTCATGCATTTAAGGGTTAAAATTTACCCCGTGAAAAAGTAAAGTAAAGTTACAGCCTATATACGTCCCACTGCTGAGCACAGGCCTCCTCTCATTTCTGAGAGGGTTTTAGGGCAAGAAAGTGTCCACCGCGCTGTCCCAATGCGTGTTGGCGAACTTCACATGTCTTCGAAATATTTTTTTTCTTATTTCTCTGACATGCAGGTTTCCTCACGATGTTTTCCTTCACCGCCGAGCACGTGGTAAATCAGCACTTAAAATTGCAATTAACAATTTCATTGGTGCCGGCGGGGATCGAACCCGGTTTGCTCGCGTACTGTGAAATTTACAGCGAGCGCTAACCATCTGAGCTACCACGGCTCTACCCCGTGGCGTGGCGCCACCCATATTTAATGGTTTTTATGGACACTTTTTATTTCACAGTCTACTCCTTACTTCTACATTGCATACTCTGGACGTTTAGTTTTCTAAACGTTTTGTTTCTATTGCCGGTGAAATGCACTCATGTTTTTTATGTTTCGGAACAAAATAGGTAAATAAAAAACGTTTTAAATCTTTAACACATTTATTTTCTATCACACTGCGCGACCTATTTGGAGATTAAATTATAAATAACAGCGACTAAAATATTGTCCGCGAACAGAACTAGATCCTGCCAGGGAAGGTTCCCTCGGCGCGCTGGTTGTCCCACTTGTCGACCCATTCGTTGGGGCAAAGCGACCTGTAGACGCGTTTGAAGTAATTACAGGGTTCGTAGCTCTCCCCGCGCACCTTCTGGCATCGGTGGAAGTCCAAATAACTTTGGTAGCAATGCCTGTATTCACAATGTCAATTTTATCACAAGTACACAGACGTAATAAATTGCTATAGTACTCGTAACATCATATACGTAGTAGCACTGAAATTAAACTATAGAACAATACGTCCAACCTGCCTGCACCCTGGCTTTATTTCCTCTCTGACAACGTACGTTAGGGATGAGTCGCCTGCGCTGCCCCAAAGCGTGAGGACCGATGGGTAGGTAGGTAATATTGAGCAACTCATTATTAGTATAAACTAGTACCCGGATGACCGAGCTTTGCTCGGTTTTTTTTGAAAAAACATTTATAAATTACATACTGATGAAACATTAATCATATTTTTTGATCTTATTGACAGAATAGAAAAAACTGAACTGGTTATTTGAATAAAAAATCATATGTGCAATTAGTTTTATTAAAATTTTCGTATTTTTAAAAAAATACTAAAAAAAGAGCTTGAAATAATAGATTTTCTCACAAAAGAATTTAAATTAAAAGAAGGGAACTTGAAAAAAAAAAGGAAAAAAAGTCAGACCAAAGGCAGGACGCGAACCACGGAACTCCGATATCACGCCCGACCGACATCCCACCTGAGCTATTACGAACGTTAGTGATCTGACAAAATTTACCTTCTTATATTGTAGCAGTTTTTTATTGCCTGAAAGCATGGACAAAAGGACATTTTCTAAAAATAAATCCTAGCTAAATAGATTTATTGCCCCCGAAACTCCCTGGACACTAAATTTGATGAAAATCGTTGGAGCCGTTTCCGAGATTCCGATTATATATATATACAAGAATTGCTCGTTTAAAGGTATAGGATAACGGATTTTATTGTAATTAGTCTTTGAGTTATCGTCAACCAAACAAGTCATTCGGGAAGAAATTGTGAAATGTGGAGAAAATAGAGTTCCGGGCCGTTATAAATTACCTTACCAAGCGCGGAAAATCATTGCAGTCTATACTGGAAGAGATGTCATCCGTTTACGGAGATTCTTGTCCAAGTAAAACTATGGTTTACAAGTAGCATACCCTTTTTAAACAAGGCAGAGAGTCACTTGAAGACGACACACGGCCAGGAAGGCCGATCGAAGTGACCAGTTCGTAAACTATTCAAAAAGTCGAGAAATTACTATAAGAAGATGCCCGCCTAAAGAAAAAACAGCTCGCAGAAATTATTGTGATTACTTTTGTGATACACATTTTCAAAATTCTTCATGACCATCTTGGCATGACTAAAGTCAGCGCAAGATGGGTGCCTAGAATACTCAGGCCGCCTCAAAAGCAACAGCGCGTGGATGCACGGAAAAGTGTTGGCTCGAATTGTTACTGGCGACGAAACTTGGGTTCACCATTATGAACCTGAGTCTAAACAAGACTCTATGCAGTGGCACAAAAAAGGCACACCACCACCCAAGAAATTTAAGGTGGCACAATCACTGACAGTGTTTTGGGATTCGGAATTTTAAATTAAAGATAAAGGTGTCTCCATAACCGGAAATTACTACGCTTCAATCCTAGAACAATTGAAGGTAGCCATAAGGGTCACAGCTCATTAGAGCCACCTGGCACCCGACCCTCACCACCTCGTCGCCAGGGTCCACTCGTAGTCGACAGATGGACCACGGGTGGACGCCGCGTTGTCACCAGTGAACCTCGCGTGGTCATCGAGTGGATCTAGCGTAGTCAATGAGCGGACCGCGTGATCAACTAGTGACCGTTAAATCATACAATAAATTATACTTCCGAACTTCTTCTATAAGTTTTTCTTTGTTCATTTTATAAACAAACAACAATGCGTCCGACACATTAGAAAGGAAGGCTAGAAATGAAGGGTTGGTGGAGAGCGCCGCATCGCACTCGCGTGAACTGCGCGTTGCCAGCTCGCGCTTCACGCGCGGCAAGCATGGCAACAGCGAGCTATCATCGAGTGGTCCACTCGTGGACACCTCGCGTTCGAGGCGATCCGGTGATGGTACGGTGTTGATGTAGTGAGCGCAGGCCCATACAAGTCCATACGAAGAATACGAACCACTCGAGGCGAAGCGGTGAGGGTCGGGTACCGGGAGGCTCTAATGAGCTGTGACCTATAAGGAGAAAATTGACCAAAATAATCCTTTTTCTTCACGACAACGCGCCTGTTTACAAGTGCCATGTTGCGATGGCTGCCCTGCAGAAGGTGGGCTTCGAAATTTTGCCACACCCACCCTATAGTCCTGACCTGGCCCCCAGTGATTATTATATATTTCCAAAAAACTTCGTGGGAAAAAGTTTTTAAGTGATGAAGAAATGAAGGAAACAGTTTCGGCGTATTTTTTAGACAAAGACAAATCATTTTTTTAGAGGGTGTATACATAAGTTAATCGAAAGATCCGAAAAATGTATTAAGGTGGCATATGAATTTATTGAAAAGGAAAAATTAATTTGGACTTTTATTTCCACTCCTTACCCCCATTCCGCGAACTTTAAAATGTTCCCTCGTAACTTCTAGAAAATATTTTATTTTACTCAGACATGCAGGTTTTATTAAAAACTTTTTCGAGGATCTGATTTGAGCCCCAGAGCTGCCTGGGCTCATAGTAGCATTAGTTGGCTAACAATAATGAACTGATAAATGAGACTAATATGTAACAAACTGGGAAGAGGTCTAATTTTTAAATCATCTTTTTCTTACAACTTACAACAGGATAATAACTGCCTTCTGTCACTTTTTAGATCCCGTAGGAAAGGGTGATTGTTGTTTTACTAAAAAATAAGTAAATTACTGATTCTGGGAAAATATGAATCTTTAATGCTCTTTATCTTGTACTTTATATTCTTATTTTAATACAAACATAAACTTAAATATTTTATGGACACAGGTTATTAGGTCACACAACTTATGATCTAAGTCCAATGTTGAAACTCTATAAAAACTAAGTGTATGCATATTTGACAATAATGCATGATCAATTTTTTTATTGAAACCACCTTCCAGCCCTCAAGTTTACGAATAAGTGATATGATGAGCATGAACTTTAATAAAATGACCAACTTTTTTTGCTACCATGGTGGCACCACTTTGGAGTGTAATATGTAAGGTAGTTGGAGGATTAAGCTAGCTACGAGGCCCATACATTACAACCAGCATGCTTACCACAGAGGCAAATCTACGGAAACAGCCCTGATCGGTGTCATTGACAGGGTCGAAAAAGCACTGGAGGATAAAGAAATAGCTCTTTGTGCCTTTCTAGATATTGAGGGCGCCTTCGACAGTAGCTCCACATCACTGCTGATTGGGGTCCTGACATCTAAAAATGTTGACCCCACAATCATCAGATGGTTGAAGTCGATGCTCTCAAACAGAAAAGCAAAATAGCGCTGTTTCAAACTTCTATTGAGGTTGCAACTACAAGAGGCTGCCCACAAGGAGGTGTTTTGTCACCCCTTCTTTGGACTCTTGCGGTTGACCAACTATTGTACAAAATGGCAGACCTACGCATTGACACATTGGGTTATGCTGATGACCTTGTGATCATTGCGAGGGGCTTTTGCCAAAGTACTTTATCGTCAATAATACAAAGAGCCCTAAACACCATAAATAACTGGTGTAGGGATAACAGTTTATTAGTTAATGCTGATAAAACTGTTATAATACCCTTTACCAAAAAGAGACGGTTGGACAAATTAGTTCAACCAAAACTTAATGGCAAAGAAGTACCATTTTCCACGGAAGTTAAGTACTTGGGCGTAACAATCGACCAAAAACTAACGTGGAACTCTCACCTTAGCAACGTATGCCATAAGGCTAAAATTGCTTTAGGTACGTGCAGTCGTTTGGTCGGGAACAACTGGGGCTTGCGTCCCAGTATGGTCCTATGGCTGTACAGCAGCATAGTGAAGCCGATTCTCACCTACGCCTCTATTGTCTGGTGTAACAACGCCAACCAAAAGACGACTGCGGACAGACTAAATAGTCTACAAAGGACTGCCTGCTTAATGGCAACTGGAGCGGCTCTTAATGCACTTCTATGCCTAACGCCCCTTGATCTCTATCTAGACAAGGAGGCGAGGGCTAGTTTGTATAGAATTAACGCCCAGGGCGGTCTGAGCTTGCTCTCCTACAGATTGAGATCCATGCTCAACTCAATTAAGGAATCACCGGTCTTATGCATGATCTCAGATATCATGCGTTACACCACTACACACTTTTGATAAAAAGTATATAGTGGAATTACCCTCCAGAGAAGACTGGCTGAATGGCCAGGTTATCTGTGAGGTCGGTAGCCTCATATGGTATACCGATGGGTCTAAAATGGGCCTCGACGTAGGCTTTGGAATTTACGGGGAATGCCCCAAATTCAAACTTAATATGAATTTGGGTAGATATACCTCTATCTTCCAGGCAGAAATTTTCGCCATACTTCGGTGTGCGAAAATCAATCTGCAAAACACTACATCAACCATAAAATTTACATAAACTCTGATAGTCAAGCAACACTGCTAGCGCTGAGATCAAACTTAGTGAACTCAGAAGCTAGTTGGAGACTGCGTGAACCGTTTAAACGCCCTGGGATGTAACAACAGGGTCGTTTAAGATGGGTTCCGGGTCACGAGGGTATTGTAGGCAACGAATTTGCCGACGAACTTGCACGGGAGGGCTCAAAGTGCACACAATTTTGAACTGAGCCATTTTGTGGAATCCCAAGAAGCCTAGCCCGATTGACCCTTGAAAATCTTTATCACAATAAATCACTTAAAATCTGGTCTGACACACCAGGCTTAAAACATTCTAAAATCTTAATCCGGGCTTTTGATCGTAAATTCGCTTCAGAAGCCCTGGGATTAAGTAAAAATAAATTGCGCATTCTGGCAAAAGCCCTAACTGGACACTGTTGTCTTAAAAAGCACATGTCCATCCTGGGACTAAGAAACTCAAGGATGTGTCAGTTCTGTTCCATAAAGGAAGAAACGCTTCTACACATCCTAACTGATTGCGGACCCTTAATGCGCAACGTAACACTCATCTGGGAAACTACCTACCCCGCCCAGAAGAAGTGAAACTCCTCACGGCTAAGCAACTCCTTCTATTCATTGAAGACATAGGGCTTAGCCGTGAACTGTAACCCTAGCAGCGATCACAATAGATCTTTTAGGTCGCAGTGATACTGGTCTCTTTACCTAGACCTGCATAGCTGCTCGCATATAAAAAAAAAGGTAGTTGGAACCACGTTAGCTCAGGGGGTACATGATGATTACTAACACAACTAATGTAATATTAAATGTAAGGTATTTTAGTGTGCATCCCAACCAGATAAGAATACAATAGTATCTTTATTGTATTCTGGTCTGGTTGGTATTCATGTATACCGACCAGACTAAGATACAATAAAAATACAACAAAATATGAACATAGTTATTCAGTAAATTAGGAATGAGGTAAATAATGGCTGCGTTTGGCAGAAAAAAGCGCTAGGAAGCGCTTGTAAGCAAAATGGCGAAACTATACAGTTTTTGGCCAGGACACATTTGCTAACTTCAGTAGGGCTGACACAATCTGCCATTTTGCTTATTTATTTTGTTTGTTTTGAAGTAGAGTTTATAACTTGTTTTGTGCAATTAGTTTCCAAGTACTATAATGACATGAATAAACATATTATACATGTTATTAAAAATTCATAATTGGTAAGTTTTTAATATGAATACTTTACAAACATATATTTAAATTAGGTTAGGTTCCCCGGTTAAACAACTTACACTAAGTTTAACGTTTAAGTTAAACACTAAGGTTAAAGCTAACTTAGTGTCCTAGAGGAAAAGAGCTATTTACCATTTAACAGCGCTTATCGCCTACAATAGCCATTTTGCTTACAAGCGCTTTTTTCTGCCAAACGCAGCCAATTGTAACACATGATTTTTACATTTAGTGTTTAGATTCCACTAGATATACAAATAATTAAGATCTATAAGTTTTTTTACAAGTTATTAGGAATTCAATTTGAATGAGTCTTGTTTGTGCTAATCATTCTATATGAATTACGTTGATGAGAATAATATGTGTTTCAATGTGTATGTTTGACAAATTTTGTAGATCAGTATGGAAAAATATTGCTTTAATTTCAGTTATAGTTCTACAACAAGCAGGCGCACACGGCAGGTCCAATGCTGAGCTCCGGTGTGATAAATTAAAAACATAGAGCTACATTACCTTGTCTGGTTCTGGTTAGGAAACCGAGGGTCGAAAGGTGCAGTTTTGATGTCAGCGGGCGATTTGATCATTTCTGGCATTTTACTGTAACGAAAGAACATTATCATTCATACTCATTGTTCTTTATTATCAACACCTGTTTTACAGAAGTTTAACTAACAAGCTAAGATTTGATTACAATGAACAAGAAACTTGGTGAAAATGAGAATATTATTAAGAAATACAATCAAGCATAGTAGCAGTCATAATGAAGAAAAAAAAACTATTTTTTATTTCACGAGAGGCCGTGTCTTTCTCTCCTCCTCACAAGAAGTCTCCCTATATTTTTTAACTTCTTGCATGTATAGGGACCACGCATCTTTAGGAGTGTTGTCCACAGTTTGCTCATCAATAGCTTTAGCTTTCTTCACTAAACCGGTTTTGAGTACCCTTCCACCACGTCGCTTCCCAATAAAAGGTAAAATTGGCTTTTTAATTTCTGGCTTTTTCTCCACAACTTCAGTTTTCTTAGTTTCTTCCTGCATTTTTTTAAACATTTCCAAGAAACTGCCATCGTTCTTAATTGGTATTGCCATGGGTTTAGACTTAGATGATGAAGCTGCTTGTTGCATAACTTGTTCGGGCGGTGGTAAAAGCTCAGCAAAGTTGGGTCCTTCTACTTCAGGTGGGTCTCCATACTCAATATCGTCAACAGTAGTAGATTCAACTGCACCTGGCGGTGGTTTTACTTCTTTTGGAGGTGATTTTGCCTTTTCTTTCTCCTCCTGTCGACTTCTATGCTTTTTCCAAAAGCGTTTTCTATCTTCCACTGTAAATTGACCACGCCGTTCATCATCGCTTGGAGTACCACTGTTGCTACGAGATCGTGAACTGCGAGATCTTGATCGTGATTTGGATTTCGAGGATACTGAGCGTCTACTTTTTCCTCTTGATGAAGATCTTTGACGGGACATAGACCTGCTTTTGCTCTTAGAGTGACGCATGGAGCGACTCTTAGAATGGGATTTGCGCTTTGAGGATGATTTATGTCTCAACCTACGTTTAGATTTAGATCTAGAATGTCTGGAAGACCTAGATGAACTACTTGAAAGAGATCTGGATCTGGAATGATTTGATTTTGGGCTTGATAAATGTTTACGCTTTGAATATTTAGGAGTCAAAGATCTCGATCGAGAGCCAGAACTTGAAGACGAGCGACTTCTAGCATAACATTTTGGAGGTGTTATAGAACTGTCTCGTGGTTTCCTAGGTGGAGTTTCGGACCTTTTCTCTTTTCTTTCAGCTTTATATTTCCTTGGCGGTGTTAGTGACCGTTCAGATCTTTTATGAATTTTAGGTGTAGCTGATCTATCGGATATTTTGTGGATTTTGGGAGGGGTTGCTGATAATTCCTTTTGTTTTTTTGAAGTTGAACAATTTCTTGGCTTCCTATCATTACTAGACTGGGATTTCTCTTTGCTTCTCAACTTTTCTCTTACCACACTTGGGGATCTGCTACTAGAATTCCTTTTACTATCAGGAGATTTAGAATGGTTACGAGAATGAGATTTACTCTTTTTTAACGGTGGGGTTAAGGAATGATCCCTTACTCTACTTGATTTTTTCTTATAAGATTTATCAGAATCAGATGATTCAGAAGAGGATGATCTCTTTTTATTTTTCTTTAATGGGGATCTAGAGTATGATCTAGATCTAGAGCTAGAATGGTCACTAGAAGAATACTTTGTGTGTTTTGACTTTGATCTAGTTCTTGACCGTCTACTTCTAGTACCTTCCTCATAACTACCATCCCTTTTTCTTGAATATGCTCTTTCCTTTTTCACATATGGAGATACACTACGTGAATTGGATCTATACTTTTGCCTACGTTCATAATCTATGGATTCTATGGGGGAACGAGTTCGCTCACGGAGCCTAGAGTAATCGTAACTGCTTTGCGGCGCAGGATAAGCACTTCTTGAATCTTGGTATTTGTAATAGCCGTCAGATCTAGGATAATAACCGGAATCGTAATTATAACCATAACCCGTTGCACCATATTGCTGGTAATCGTAGTGAGGCTGGCCGTAGGAGCTGTAGCTGACGCCTGTCCAGGGGTCCGTGGTGGGCATGGGCGCGACGAGCGGCGGGGCACGCTGCGTGGCGTACTCAGCCTCAGCGCCAGGCGGGCCGCCGTCCCATGCACCAGAACCGCCGTACGAGGACATACTTATACGAGCCTCTTCGCATAACCTGCGGCAGTTTGTAGGTAGGCACACACCTACAAACAGAATAACTTTTCGGTGTAGACAACAACTCTACGCTCCCCGCTCGAGAAACGCCTTCGCGCATTGATATTCATGAATCGTAGTAAATATATTTTGACGAGAAACAACAAATTACGTAATCCGCTACCAAAAAGCGGAATTAAGTTCGTTTATGCATGCTGTGTACAAAGCTTAAAAGATATACAAAATATGAATACCTGTCTACTTATGCTCACCTTTTATTGATAGTACAAGTTTATTTTCTCAAGAAAATTCTATAGAAGAAAATGGCAGCCAACACATTCGCTTACACTATACATAGACAAAATAGAACAGCACAGACTAATAAAATAATAAATTTAATATCAGAACCATAGATTAAAAAATTATTGCCATCTATGAAAAAACTATTTTCGGTCGTAGCATAAGGAATTCTATACCACCGTTGTGCCTACTGATCGTAGACAGAGAAACCTAATAGGTTTCTCTGTCATAAAATTTTTATTGTTCTAAGAACTGAACTGAACAAGATTCACCAATCTTAAGCTCATAAAACACTTTTTTGTCACTTAAACCAACTGTAAACTCCTTTGATCGCTACGAACAGTCAAAGTTGTTTAGCAAAGTGTAGTTTGCTAAATAAAAAAACCGGCACGGAGAAAGGGACAAACAATCACACTGCTCTGTCTCATTTCTATGCAAGACGTATGCATAAGTCTATCTTTTTCGTGTGCGAATGCGAAAGAAGGTGTCAATTTGTCTATAGGTTTCTCTGTCTACGCTACTGATAGAAATCAAAAACAATGTAGGATAAAGAGGAATAAGGTGCAAAACTGTAAAATATTGCGAAGTATTAGAGAAATAAAAAGATTATGCTTCTTAATGAGTCGTTAATATGAATCTAATTATTTTATGCACCTATACCCAATGATTTTATAGAGCAACATCTTTTGAAATATAGTTTAAGTAGAAATAACTTCTTGTGTGAATCTTAAAGCTCGTATCTTGAGATTCAGTCCACTTTGTAGTGATAATCAGTTAGTTATGGCAGTTACACATCAAAGTGAGCTTTATATAATGTGAAATCACAAGGGATATGACGGAATAAGCTTGTTGTGCATTTGGGCAGCGCGGCGGACACTACATCGCCCTAAACCCTCTCAGAAATGAGGGGAGGCCTGAGCCCAGCAGTGGGACGTATATAGGCTGTAACTTTACTTTACTTTACAAACATATATTTAAATTAGGTTAGGTTCCCCGGTTAAAGCTAACTTAGTGTCCTAGAGGAAAAGAGCTATTTACCATTTAACAGCGCTTATCGCCTACAATAGCCATTTTGCTTACAAGCGCTTTTTTCTGCCAAACGCAGCCAATGGTAACACATGATTTTTACATTTAGTGTTTAGATTCCACTAGATATACAAATAATTAAGATCTATAAGTTTTTTTACAAGTTATTAGGAATTCAATTTGAATGAGTCTTGTTTGTGCTAATCATTCTATATGAATTATGTTGATGAGAATAATATGTGTCTCAATGTGTATGTTTGACAAATTTTGTAGTGATAATCAGTTAGTTATGGCAGTTACACATCAAAGTGAGCTATATATAATGTGAAATCACAAGGGATATGACGGAATAAGCTTGTTAAAAAACAATCCATAATAAATAATCAATTGAATGACCATCTTATAATAACTATAAAGAGTTACTTTGTAAAGAGAGTGAAGTTTTTAGAAATATTCTATGTCAAGTAGCTGATACGCAGAATGCATATCGAACTACGATTATGTGAACAAATAACATTGTCACCCTACACACTAAGAAAAGGATTTAATAAAATTCTACTTGAAAAAAGACTTGGAGATTTTAATACAACACTTCGTGGTCATTTTCTTGTCAAAATTAATAAAAAGTCAAAATGACGTATCACAGCACCTATACAGTAATCTATGATAGCACAAATCAAATATTAATAATAAGCGTAGACAGAGAAACCTATAGACTAATGATTAACGTGGCCTCGAGTGAGAAAGGACGATAATGTAGTTTTAGGTTTTACAATAATATTTATGACTTTTAAACATATTTAAATAAAAATTTAATTGTTCTAAGAACTGAATAGATCAAGATTCGGCAGCGTGAAAATCACAATATATATGTATATATGTATATTACTCGAATTTATTCACGTAAAAAGATAAATGATTTTCACACAAAAACCTTCGTTCATCATCATTCATCATCATCATTACAGCCCTTCACAAGTCCACTGCTGAACATAGGCCTCCACCAAGAAATGCCACAAAGCACGGTCCTGAGCCACCTGCATGTCTTACCAGGTCGTCACTCCATCTAGTAGGGGGGTAGCCCTACACTACGCCTACCGGTATGAGGCTGCCATTCGAGAACCTTTCTTCCCCAAAGGTTATCGGTTCTTCGAGTTATATGGCCGGCCCATTGCCACTTCAGCTTAATAATCCGTTGGGCTATGTCGGTCACTCTGGTTTTACTGCGGATGTCCTCATTTCTGAGTTTATCACGCAGAGAAACTCCGAGCATAGCCCTCTCCATAGCTCGCTGAGCGACCTTGAGCGTCCTCATACGGCCAGCAGTGAAGGACCACGTCTCAGATCCGTAAGTCATCACTGGCAACACGCACTGGAGTACACTTTAGTTTTCAGAGATTGAGGTATACCTGACGAGAAAATATGTCGTAATTTCCCGAACGCTGCCCAGCCGAGTTAAATCCGTCGATTGACCTCTCGGTTGAAGTTGGACTTACCTAGTCGGACTATTTGTCCCAGGTAAACGTAATCGTCAA